GCTCGACGATTAAGCGACTACCGAAGAATGCGTTTAATCGCCTACCGTGCCTGCTATACTTTGAGGAAGGCTAGCGCTTATGTGCGCTTTAATTATTCGTTTTCTCCGAACTTCTTGGATTTTACCTTGGAGACGGTCGCTGTTGTACTCGTCTCGAAAAATATCGATATGGGGGTTTTTTTTTCTTTTCGTTCCCGACTGGAGATACTGGAGTAATGTTGTTTACTACTGTAAAGGGATTTTGTAAGATAAGTACAACAGCGACCATTCCCAGTATCTCCGGTCAATTGTGTATATAATAAAATAATGGACACTAATTGTTAAAGTAAAAATATAAAAATGACTAAAAATATATATTGAATAATGATTTTTGACAAGCGGTACTGAAATATCGCTTCTTTAAACAAGTTTTTCTAATGTTCACTTATACCAATGTAATAAATTAATTTTAATCTCAATTAAATTTACTTTTTTAGTTTTAAAATTAGAAAAAAGATAAAGCATAAGTTAAACCAGGATTAAAGTGAATCTACATTGGTAGGAACGGCCATAAATCAAGAAAGAATAATTTATCAAAAATGCGACTCGTCATTCTATTCTCTCAAATAAATTGTTAATAACTTAAATATTATATGCAAGTACCTGAATATTAAATTAACACGCTTAATATTGCAATAATTTATTCTGTAAAATATCTATTTTATGATCTCCACTTTATAGTTTGTAACTAGAAAAATACGAGGGATAATTTTGAGATTATATTAGCTTTCATTATCATATCTCCTCGGCTATTTTTTCATCATTTCAAAACAGTCTTGACTATAATTGTCGCGATAAAAATAACAAGAAGTGCTTGAACAGAAGGAGTTATCTGTGATTTTACTTTAATTGACTCTACTTGTTATCTTCTCATCATGGAGATAATACCACGGCATAGTTTTCACTCAAAGTCAAGATGCGACGAGTGTCTTTATGTGGGATAGGATCGCGCACGTGTTGACATCGTCATTTTCGTTTTCGCGCGCGCGACCTTTCGTTTCGGTATTACTAAAAATACGCCCGACGACGCGACCGACGTCGTCTAAAAATAGAAGAGAGCAACAATATCATTCCGTGCCGAAAAAGAAAAAAAAAAGAGATGATAATTCACAGATGACAGGCTCCCGTGGTTCGAGATAACATCGTGATAAAAATCGAGACTGGTTCGACGACTAGCCTGAATTCCGGTTCAAGATAACGTTTTGACAGATGGAGAGAACATAATTCTCTAGAACGGTTCAAATTGAATTAATTAATATCTAATTATCTGAGAAAGCCTCGGAGAACCAGCGCGTAATAATTTCAGACAGTTTCAAAATACAAATTACGCGAGATCGATTAAATGCTTCCTGCATAGTCCAGAAGAGTGGTCGATGGAAGAGTGGAGTATTTGTGGTTTTCTCAGGAAGACATTTCTCCCCTACGGGAAGTTTACGAGATGTTATTACATCTATTTTTAGAGTTTTTATATTTACAATGAGAAAGTTATGGAAATCTTACAAATTATTCCAAATCGCGTTTACAAATAATACAAGGAAGCCTAGCAGCGGTTTAGAAAAATTATTTAAATAAATAAGTAGAAGCGTGCTATAATGGAATAATTAAGAAATAATGACAAAATTTTTATAGGTACTTTAAATATTCAAGATTATTTATGTAAACTTTTATTTTGTTGCAGAGATTAATTGTTCTGTAAATAAAAATTTAATTTTTATTTACACAACAACTGATCTCTGCATCGCAATGACGTTTTATATAAATTATATTGAATATTTAAAGTACTTAGATAAAAAAATTGAGATTTTGTTTTTTAATGATTATTTCTTACATTTTCAAAACAGACTTCTATCTTTTGTGTTCAAATTAATAATTTTTAATCCTAAATTCTAAATCGTCGCAAAATTTTTTTGTATTGTATTTTAAATGTGATCTAGAATAATATAAACTTTTTCACAACTATAAATAAAAATAGGTATAATATATTCTTAATTGCCACCATAACAGCAAGTGTGCATTTCACGCGCGTCTCATGGATTACGGCAAAGAAAAAAATGAGGAGAAAAGGAACGGCGGCCCACCTTTATAATCTTGTATTTCTTCTTGGTCGCCTGATTGAGATCCTCGTGCACCTTGTCGAGCAGCCACAGGAGAAATTCCTGAGCGTCGTGCTGCAGATTGCCGCGGTACTGGCTACCGTACTTGTCGACGACGCTCTTGAACGCGGTGCTCATCTCCGGGTCGTACTGGCAGCTCCAGATCGCCTTGAGGAGCAGCGCGAGCTGCTCGGTGATCTCGCCCTTGGTGCCGTACTTCTTCGAGTTGAGCTTGTTGCGACGCGACAGGTCGACCTTGTACTGATCGAGGACGAAGTACTCGGCGAGGATGTCGGTGTGCGAGAGGCACTGCAGGACGGCGTTCATGAAGCACGTGTTGCCGTGATTGCGTAGGCCTATGACACCCGGCACACGATCGGGCGGTATGTGCGCCGGCCGCGGCGGCGGCACCCTGATGTCGCCCGCGCTCGAACCGAGATCATCGCCGCCGCCGCCGCCGCCGCCACCGCCGCCGCCTCCTCCTCCGCCGCCACCGCAACGTTGATGATGGATCATCGAGGCGGACTTGTGGCTCTGGGCGCCCACGTTCGACATGTGTCGCACCATCTTGTTGATGAACTTCTTCCAGGAGGGACGGCGAAACACCTTCTTGCCGCACGGTCGCTCCTGCGATTCCTGATTGCCGGTGGTCTGCTGACTTCCCTGGTGACCGCTATGCAGCCTCCCCGTCGCGCTCTGTCGTTGCTGCTGATGCTGATGCTGCTGAGACGGTAGCTGCATACCGTCCGCGTGACGAGCGTTGTTCCTGGCGTTCTCCTTCGCGCTCACCGCGCCGTTATTCGCGTCCCTCGAGTCCCCCTGGCTCTGCTGTTGCTGCTTCGGACGTCGTCGCGACATCCTGCTGCTGGCACTTTGAAACGGGTTTCTCGGCAGTGTAAAGGTGCGCTTGAGCCGCGTGGCGCCACGCGGCTCCGCGGGTTTAACCTCTTCCTCCACGCCCAGCTCGCCCTCGGACACTGATTTCATCACCGACGTGCCGCGATCGGTTCTCGCGGCTTTCATCGCCAGCCGCACCTCGCTGGCTGATTGATTGGCTGGCTGGATGTTCGGATGGCTTGGACCGCGACGCGCGCGAATTCTCTCGGCGTGTAGGCGGTCGGGGTCGGCCGCCGCCGACGTTCACATCACGTCTCGCGAAGGTGTCGGTGTTACCTCGACCGCGACGTGGACGAGGATGGTGACAGCGACGGCGATGACGGCAACGACGACGACGACGGCGACGACGACGACGACGTTACCGCGCGACGATGCGGTTGACGCAGGAAGCCGCGCGTCCGCGGCGACCGCACGTCCCGTATACGTCTACGCGGAACCGCAACCGCAGCCGAACGCAGTCGGGCGTCACGCAACACCACACACCACCTCGGAAACTGCACTACGGCGGCCATCAGCGGCCATTTGCCGCGCGTATCACGGGCTTCCACGATTTCACACGACGCCTCGGCCATAAACCATCGTCGGCTGGCGACATCGGTGGCCGATTTAGGGAGACACGCGATTGCCGCGACATCTCGAGAGCAACGTCACTCTGACAACTCGAATTATCGTTGGTCGTTAACGATCGGTCAGGTAGGAAGTAAAATGATGAATGTTAATAAAAAATTTTTATTTTTTTTTATTTAAAGAATATATTTTATTTACAATGGAACATTTATAAAAAAAATAGATTATAGATTATTCTACACGTTTTTCATAACTTTTTGATCGTTAATATAAAAATTATAAAAATAGATATAATTCTTAACTAACATTCTTAACTAAAAATTAAATTATTGATATTTGCAAAAAAACCGATTCTAAATTAGTCACAAAAGTCGTGATATGTAAAATGATTTTGCATGATGATTATACGAGTATGTCATTAATTGAATTATATACATGATAAAGATTTAAATAAAATAAAGACTGAATGACTAAACTGAGTGTTATTATATACGATAACTTCAGTTTTGTATTATTTTTATTTTATAATTAATATTTCTTTTTAAATTAATAACAAGGTTTTTATATGATAAATAATTAATTATAAATGTTGAGATTTGATAAATATTTTGTTATCCGTAATGACATAATGTGATTACTTCAATAAACTCTAATGAATTCTCTTTACTGCATTAATTACTACATTTTTTAAATAACTAGACATTATAAACATGCGCTTCGCGCGCACTTATCTTCTTCAACACACAAGAGCAAAAAATTAATATAATATTATTATACTACTGTTACACTATAATATTTAATTAAATAAAATATATATATTATTTAATATTTTTCTTATTTATTTAATTATAAACAAGCTTTGTATGTGATAAGGAATTATTTATAGCAAAAATTGAGCTTTGATATTTGATGAGATATTTTGATATTTACAATACAATTATATGATATTATAATCTTTGAATAAGTTTTAATAATTTCTTTTCATTGTTTTAGATTGCATTTAAAATTGTTCTATTTAAAATTGAAACTTTGTAAGACATATTTTATATATTGTTACAAATTATAAATGTTTTTCTATACTTCTCATTCACACTTCTCTGGATAATCAAATACAAAAGCGATAACAATAAAGAGATGTGATGTAAAATAAAATTAAATATTATCTGAAATCATAAATATATATATATATGATTAACATTAGAATAAATCATAATATTGATGAGTTGAGATATCGATCTATATTTTATCAGTTATTCAAATTAGCATAAAATTGTCGGTTTTTAACAACATCTTTATTGATAATTGGCAAAGATATGCGAATAGATTGCTTTAAGTTGAATATGATTACAAAGTCATCGTCAGCAATGGACTTTCCTTGCTGACGATGCGTTTCAGCGAAAGCAATATCGTTTAATCGATTGAAGTCACATCGTATCCGCATTTACCGCCATTTTCATTATGATCAGTTCAGAAAAGACTCACTATATTCTTCGAATTAGTGTGATTTATTATTTTCTTTTATTTGTTGTTTCACACTCATGGAATCTAACTTCACTAAACATAACGGACGATATTCTGATATGGAGGTTTACTGTATGGAGAAATCGCGCTTTTTTAGCAATTCCCAGGTATGAAAAAGAAGTAATAATTTGTAATCTACGATCGCACGATACGTAATATTAAATACGTCAAAGTTGAATTAGAGTTTTATTATTGACTTATATTTGTTTAAAAATTTGTAATAACTAAATTGTTGAAAAAATGTTAATTATATAATCGTTAAATTGTTGTATAAGTTGTTAATTATATAATTAATTTAAATATTTTTTTGTTTAAGACAAATATAAATTTATTTATTTGTTTTTTCACGCAATTTTTCATTATATATACACAATAAAGTAATCTTAAAATAATAACTAATTACAAATTGTGCAAAATACGAATATATTTTATAAAATATAATTTAATATACAATGTTTAGTATAAATTTATTTTGGAATAAATTAAAAGATGTTGATATTCTTAAAATAGTTAAGTTTTACATTGTTAAACATATTGTTATAATATTATATATCAGAACAACAAACAGAAAGGAGGAAGGATGGAAGCCAACATTAATAGAAGTTTCTTGGCCTGAAATTAATTCTAATTTGCCATCAAACATCGCAAATGCAGCAACCTCTTCAAAGATTTTTCCTAAAAAAAGATCTTCAAAGTGTGATTATGAAACTGTCATATCTGTAACTGGATTAGATGTAGATGCTCGAGGACAATTATGGATTCTAGACGTACCCGATAGATACAATTATTCACCTCGAATCCTTATTTATGATTTGAAACGAAACGATCGATTGGTATATCTATTAAATTATATATTTTTTTTAATCCAAGAATTGCACACTAATTAAGCAAAAGTTTTAAATTATTTGTTTTTTTTGGGAAATTTTTTTTTTAAATATGTCAATCTTAAAATATAAGCAGGTTTGAACTTATTTTATAATCATATTCTGATGTTAAAATGTCTTGTAAAAACAATTTAAAAACAATTAAAAAAACATATAGTTTTAAAAGAGTTACGTTTAAAATATCCATTTGAGTTTGGGAGAATTAATTATTAATTTATGTAAATATGTAAATATGTACTTAATTGTAAAAAAAAATATACATGTAATTCTAAGATAAGTAAATTTTTATTTTTTTTATATTAATATATCTTTTACATAAAATTTTCTATTTATTTCTTTACAAATTTTGTTACACTTTAATATATGTACATTATTTGAGAACTAAATTTTAATTTAGAATTTAGCAAGTTTAATTAAAATTTATAGCAATTACGAAATAACAAAATATTTTATTTGTCAAAATAATATTATTTGAACTTTTTAAAATTTAGATTTTATTTCTCAAGATAAATAAACGTTTCAATAATAATTCTATATATTTAAACAAAAAATATTTGAAGGTATCATTCACCGAATTGACTGAAATACCTTCGAAACGATTAAAGTCTCTCGTGGTCGACTCGTTTGAATATCAATGGGGATTTCGTGGGTATATCGCCGATGCCGGTGACGAAACGATCGTTGTTTATAGTTCGGGTAATTTACATATGCATCCGAAGAACATTTATACGGAAGAAACTATTCTCTCTCTTTTCATATGCATGTATGTCGATTGCAATACAAATTCCAGGATTACGCAAGTGGTGGAAATTAAGAATGTTACACGGACCTGAAATTCCTTATGTGGAATCCACAGACCTCGCTTTTTCTCGGAGGAACTCGATCTTATACATGACGGGGCATGATACACATGACCTGTTTAGTATTAATCTGAAAAAAACTAGAACAGACGAAGTGTGGACTGCAATTTCTCACGTACGTGCGAAGCCAAGTTATCTCTCAATACTTGTATCATATTAGATAACTTATATATCTACAATATGTTTGCAATCCTTTATAAAAGTTTTAAGAAAGTGCAGACAAATCAACTTCTTTCAAAAATGCAGACAATTCAACTTCTTTCGTCGTTTGTATTTAAAGATGGCTTGTAAGAAAATCCTTCAAAAGAATATTATTAAAAAGAGCAATTTATCGAGAATATTCTTTAACAATGAAAAAGTTCTCAATAAAATATTTTTTTTAAGAAATATTAAGAGACTATGCTTCGAGTAAAATAGCACTTATTAGGTAAAAAAATCTTTTTATTCTGACTGATCGATCAAATACTCCATCCGATAAATAATTAAATAATGCACAATAATGATATTAATTGTTTGTTGGAAATTAATATGCTTATTTGTATTATTATATTTTAAGAATTATGTTATTTATTATTTTATAACACTTTTATAATATATTACTAAAATATTAAAAATTAAATTATAATATTTATAATTTAATTTTTACAACTTACATAACACTTATATTTTATACACAACATTTATATACACATATGTATAACACTTATAATTTAATTGTTATACTAAATATAATATGTAAAAATTTAATTCATTTATTCTAATAATTTGTTTGCATTTTTGAATATGTTGAATTTTTATTTAAACTATCCAAGATTTCTATTTGTAAATTTATATAACTTATTTATTTTTAAAATCAATAATAAAAATATCAGTAAATTAAAGGTATTTTATATTGTTAAATTATTCAATCAAAATTCTCCAACTAAAATTTTCAAAAATTATTATATTTTCAATAAATTTTTAAAATCTCGCAAATACTCCCGGAAAAAAATTTTTTTTAAATAAATTACTGAAAATGTTCAATCTATAACTATATTCCGAAAATAATTTTTGAGAGAGATTTGGGAGTGTTTTTTTTTAAATTAATCTATATGAAAATACTTTCGTATTTTAGGGAGAACAAAATGTAACAGTGACTTGGCTTGGGAAAAAATTAGGCTCTTCCATGGGCCTGTTCTGCGACTTGAAAGATGGCCTACACTATTTTATGACTTCAGAAAGAGCCAGCGTGCGATGGGACACTAAGCTTCCTTTGAACGTAAATTATTTAATTTAATCTCCTCTAAAAGTCACATTGTAAATAATTGATTGATCTGTCCTTTCAGGCGCAGAGTCATTCGGTCCTGGTACAAAACGATGACGTCCCGTGCATAACTGATTACATAATGGATGCGCGAAGAAATGTGTGGGGCTTAGTGAATTTGAAATGTCCCAACGCGATGAAAAAAATATTTTTAGTAATTCGACGCTTAAATCTAGAATAGTTAAAATTCTAAAAAATTCTTTCGCATTCTAATCAACAATATTAATTGTATTTTTTATTTTAGTAAATTGAAGATTTCTTGAGAAGAGTTATGTCTATCTTAATTTTTTGAACAATTTAAAAATTATTTTCTTTGAAATATTATTAGTTATATAATCGGAAACATTTATATATTTTCCTAAAATCGGCATGTTTCAATAATCATTTATTTAAAAAAGAATTATTTATTATTTATTAAAAAAGAATAGCGACTTATTTAGCATCCTATTTATAAAATAAAATAATTTTATGAAATATATTTAACACAAGACGCTATTACTTTTTATTTTGTTTAAAATTAAATAAAGAATCTAATTTCGTCATTTATGTAGACTCTATCTTAAAATTTAATCAATTACAACTTCCTTATTTTCAATTGTGTTAATTATTCAAAAATTATAGGTAAAAAATTGCATTTCATTTTCTGGTTTAGAGTTAAAAATTAGCAATAAAAAATGAATTAACTAATGAAGAAAAATGTCCAATGGTTTTTCAAATGCTTTCATCAAAATCGAACTAGCTCTATGTATTTCTACGTGTATGCATAGGTTATATAAGTTAGCACGTGTCTTCGTATATATGCGTTTACATAAGCAGGCGTTTTTATTAACCGTTTGATTTGAGTTACACAACAACAATTATAGGTGTTACAATCAAACGTATATCCTTAATGGTAAATCACTTTCTTCGATCGTTGAGCAGGTGAATAGTCGCTAGTTTGCCTTGAAAACTGGCATGTATCGATTTTTTTGGTATCGATTTGATATCGATTTAAATATCGACAAATAATTTTTACACTGGTCAACTCGTCCAAATATGCATCTTAATATACATTTTGCGCGAACCATCGGTCGGCGACAATTATACTGATTATGTCAGAGATAAATGTTGTACATTTCCTAATTATTTATGCATAATTATCTGCTGAAAGCAACGATCCAATATATCTACATTAATTGACATAACATTCGCAAGTCAATGTTGCTATCTACGAGAATCAAGGCGCAAGATGCTGCCGATTACATGACTAGATCAGCGACAAAATAGAATTTGATATTCTATTTTTTGTTTCTAAACTTAAACGACAATCGAAAGAGCTAATATCATAATACAAAGAAACATCGCATACTCTAATACTTTTTACCGCTGAAAAGATTGTTCGATTTATAGAAGCAGGAACTAAAACCATACATAATTTTGCAAGATTCATTTTTGATGCCAAATTAAAAAAATGTACCCTACGCTAATCGTCGTATCTCCATTGCCGCAAATAAACATTAGCATTACTTTCATGTGTCTGATGCATCAAAATATGAAGAACTTTCTAAAATTATCGATTTCAATTCCTGTTTGTGAGACATCAATTTATGGATACAGCCGCTCTGTAATTTTTGTTCTAACGAATAGTTTCTAATCGTCGCAAGATTTGACCAAGGGATGGATGCTCACGGAAGCGCCCGAGCAGCTCACAGTGTTTTGTATGTAATCTTGGAAGTTGCTCTCAATCACCCACATGAGTCTCTTATAACCAGGAACCACTTGAGTTGGCAGCCGGCAATCGTTGCCCTTTTGCACCAGGAGGAAGTTCTCCGGTCTGAACGGCGTCTCGCTGTTCCACATGTAGATATCGGATTCGCCTAAAAATAAATTATTTTTCTTAATTAAATGCTGAAATATCAAAGTAACTATTGCAAAACATTTTACAAATTT